ATCAAGATATTCATATCGTATTGTTATATATTATGTACATCATGGTCAAATATATTTATACTGTTTATACTAAAATATAATAAAATAAAATAATTGATGTATGTTTTTAATAGCGCTATGAACAATAATGTATGGAAATATTTTAAATTAATATATTACTACATGAATTATACAAAATTATTGAATCAATTTACGAACGTTTTTAACACATATATATATATATATATATAAAATAGATACATATGCTTTAACAGGTTAATTATGATAATTGTACAGGATTTTATCTAAAATTATAATATTTTTACTGAAGTGATGATATTTCCGTATGTTTTGATGTATTACCAAGACGATTACATTTGTGTATTGTCTTATGTGATTTTGAAGAAAAACTCAATAGCATTTTTATTTTAAATATTTTGAAAGGTATAAAGAATATTTATTTTAATTAATCGATAAAGTATATTCCTACATGAAGTGTTTTATTTTTATAAATTAATATAAGTAAGTTAGTATATAAAGATATGAATCATATTTACCATTATAATCGTAAATGTTTTCAGCTGTTTAAAAATCTTGAATTTCTCGCTTATGGTTATTGTTGTTGAAATACGATATTTGTACCTGAAAATAATCCGTCGAACAAATTAAACTCTGTTTAACACCTAATTATATATTATTAACATACGTTTTAATGTAATAAATTAATTGTATGTAATAATATAAATTATAAATAAACATAGTCTTGGTTTTATATATATTGTATCTGATAAATTTGTTTATTGTATTTAAAATACTTACGATGTTATCCTTGCTATGTTCGATGGAGGTTATCTCTTCGTGTAAATATTTCTGAGCATATACTGCAAGAAATCTTATCAGGTACAAAATGTGACTTATCGTCTGCGTAAATTTTAATCAATGTAAGGTTTTATCACATATACTACACTTGAACATGATTACGTTAAATACTAAGAACACTATCGAACTCGGAAACAATACTTTACCCTTCACAAATAGATGGGTAATGAAATATAGTAAATATAATGTATTTTAAATAACAGTGAAATTTAAACGATTAAATAGCCACGGAGTACTAACAGAACTAACGTAGAAAACGAACTATGGTATCAAGATGATACTTAAAATATTTGAATACACTTAAAAAACTTTAGAACTCTGACGACAATACATGACCATACATATAGACGGCAGTACATGGACTAATTAAATTTTGCTCATCACCACTTTCTTGTTAGTAATCTACCGACAATACTTCGACATCTACAGGTCTGTTGTCATACAAACGTATAATGCGTTCAACAGCGTCGGGAAAGGGTCAGGTATGATTGAAATAGTGGTAATTGTGACTATGTGTGAAATTGAGTAAAAAAGACCATATACTCACTATATTGAATTCTGATGATGGTCGAGGTATTTATAGTGTGTACTACGACCATATGTATAACTATACTATGTAACGTATGCCAAATATGTACCCATGTCTTATTGATATAAACCGATAATATATAAGGTTGTATATATATATAGGTATGCATATGTTTATAAACGTGATAATTGTATATGTAGGTGATATTTATGTGAAAGCGTAGTAGGTGAGATATAATGTAAATGGTGTCTATTCGTATAATCGTATATTATGTAGGTATATTGGTGTGTGTGTCTAAATAAAAGGTGGTAATATTGGTAAGAGGAAAATATATGTCAGTCAAGGTGTAATTTAGTTAATACAAATTTTCACCAGAATATATATATATATATTTTCTTCAAAAGGTGGGGAGGTAGCATTTAAAGGGAAGGCGTAAAATATATGTCGGGTTACGTCGGATCTGCTTGGTAGGTTTATGTGTTGAGGGTTGCCTATATTGAGTAATTATTATTAGTTTCGAGGAGCCTGTACCACGAATTGCCTATAATTTTTGCTATCTTTTTACATGTAAAATTTAAGGGGGAGGAGCTCCAGAACCTACCAAATCATCCTACTCCATTCATATTATACACTCTTGAAAACCATTCTTTCTATGTACTGATATCATATTTCATGTTTATCTTTTAAGGTTATTAAGACACTAAAAAATATATATTAAAATTAACCCATCCTATCTGTTCATTATCATTTCATTAGATTTGGATATAATTTTATTCATTTTTTGAGTTTTGTATATGTTACAGTTAAAACCCGAAATCTGTCGAAACTAGTTTTAACTAGTCAATTCTAGTTTTCACAAATCCCTTTAGTCACTTCTAGTTTTAACTAGTTAAAACTAGAATTTACTAAGACTATCACCGTCAAAACTAGTTTTAATTAGGGAATAGTAGAAACATTTAGTATATATTAAGTAATTATTAAATAAAGACTTTTATTATATTATTTATTTCGGCAGGACAAACTATCATGGCATTTAGAATTACATTGAATTTTATTTTTTTTACATAAACAACGATTTGTTCCGCAGGATGTTTTGCAAGTGCATTTTACAAAGCCTTGCCCTGAGCCCGTTGATGCTTTTGTTGCGGCTGCACGGAGGGAAATATGATTTTTTGGAATTTGATTCTCTGTCGAATTACCGTGCAATATTTAAAAATATAAAGTCTGTGGTCAAGTGCGTTTTATGTAGTATGAGTTCGAATATATGCGTTTTAGTTAAAACTAGTTTTTACTGACTTATTTAAACCTACGGTTAATTCTAGTTTTAACTAGTTAAAACTAGAAGTGACTAAAGGGATTTGTGAAAACTAGTATTGACTAGTTAAAACTAGTTTCAACGGATTTCGGGTTTTAACTGTAACATATACATTAACTATTATGTTGTAATATACGTACGTATAATACTATTGAAAAATTATTTGTTTTACGACATACTAACAATGTCAATAACACGTAAATTAAAATTGTAAAAAGTAAAAGCTTGAAATGCTTTTGTATTTACTCACAAGTATGGCGTTATAGATATTTATGTCGGCAACAAATCAATATCGCTAAAAATATTAACTAACCATTTATTAACAACTAAAATTGAATGACGTTATGATTAAGAATATTAATAATAAACTATTTGAATAATCACCTCAGTGGCATTATGCGTAATCTACATATAGTTGGTTGGTATTATAATGAGACATTTTTTCAAAAGTAAACACTTATCGTTATCTTAAAACTTTATTTACATCTTTGAATTTATTTTGTTTTACATAATTTTAATTTATTACTAAAGAACATTTTTGAAAATAAATTATTTTTTTTACTATTTATAACTGTTATAAAATTTAAAGTTTTATTCATTTTTAAATACGATATATATATTTAATCCAATATTTGAAAAATAAAGAAAAATGTAATACTATAAATGTATGACTTATATAGTACAAAACTAGAAAATTATAATCGTAAAGTGATCATTTGTCCTTGATTGTTTACAATTTATTTTGTAGTTTTGTATGCACTATTTCAACCAGTAACATAGGTAATAACTTCAGGAATGGGATTCAGGGACAATTTTCTTCTTTCCGAAATTATTAGGAAGATAATGAATTTTTTATATGATTTTTTTTTTTTATCTGTAATAACAGAAAATTAAAATATATTGTACCTATTCGAATTAATTGTATTTTACTTAGTTATAGCAAATTGCCTGTCACGATAAAATGATTATAAAATAAATAGTTTACATTTTAAATACCTTTGTAATATTGTTTTTTTAAATTCTGATTATAAATATTAAATAATACAGCTGATAATTATATTATGTGAGTACCTGTGGAATTTGAATATTCCCAAAAAATCATCGTTTCCGCATATTACTGTAGCATTCTGACCCAATAATAAGTATTGTTTATTTATAAAGATATTTGTAAATCATAATGTGCTGAAATCTACGAAATGTTTTGTTTAGTTCAGGTCATTTAATTTGTTAATTTAAAAATTAAACATCCCACCAGAAGAAAAATTAAATCTCAGTACGCCGTGGATTCCAGCAGTTGCATTCACTTGTATATAAACTTTATATAGAAACAAATTTAGATTAGTATATAGAAAATTAAATTAAAAATTTAGATTTTCATTAAAAATCTAATAAATCATCATGATTGAAAATAAGATTTGTTCCAAACACACAAAAATTTGTGCTAGACAATGATAAACGAGTATTTATCGTCAAGTATTTGGTGTGTCTGTCACAACTTCAGTATACATAGTCATTGGCTAAAATAGTAGTGTATTACAATTTATATTGTAATATAGACCTATACTAACATACTCAAACCATACATACGTATTACGAAGATATCACTGCCACTATTATTCCAAATTTACAATTACGTAACACGCACAATAACGATGATAATTATAATAACGAACATAAATGATGATAATAATTATGTTAACTCACTGTGACATCAGTGTTCTGCAATTGGTTCACCGCTGTCGCTTCCCCAGTCTTGTATGAGCCCCGTCCCAAGCTGTCGATCAGATCCCGTCCACGAGGTCCATGTTTTTTCTCAAATGACTCTCGGAATTTGGCCCCGTCACTGGGCTTAAACGCTATGTGACGCATTATTGGATTAACAGCCGGTTGTCCGTAAGCTCTGGCCATTAAGAAACCAAAAGGCGTGAGCCCTTCGGCTGGAACCGCTTCTGTACCACTCAGTGACATCATTAACACGGCGACCGCCGTCTGCAGCAATGTCTAAAAAGTAATACGAATAATATATACATAATATATAATCACCTCCAAGCTAAATGTTACTACTGAATGATTTCCTAAACAAGTAATCTCGTGTTATTTTTTTACATACTCACTTCATATATGATTATTAAGCTATTTTAAACAGATTGTACATCTCTCAAATATTTATATTTATTTTAAGTTACTTACCCCGTTTACGTATGTACCACTATACGTGGTATTGGCTAATAAATTACCAAAATACTTCTTATATATAATATAATATAATATAATAAATAGTTGTTGTATAATATTATGTTTTTAATATCTGTTTTTGTTAAAAATTAATTCAATCTACTGTATTTCTATTTTCTAATAGACAAATAAATTATTAATAACAGTATAAATATTTAATAAAATTTTCCAAAAAATAAGTTAACAAGCCGATTTTACTCAAAATCGTTTTTCGTATACAATGATTATTATTGAATTCAAAACTATATTAACACATCCATTACAATTACGAGGTATAATCGAAACTTTCTATACAACAAAACAGAACGACTTTTTTAAATAATTATAATTACATATTTACGAGTATATACACATAAAATACAAAATATTTCCATTGAATAAACTAAAACGAATTTAAAAAAATTAATATAATAAAAACAAAATAAAAATCTCGATTTTGTTGTTTATGCTAAATTTATTCTAAATAAACAATTTATAATACTAAAATAAATCTAAAAAAACAGCTTTGTGTATAATTTACAAAATTGCTTTATTCTTTGAGCAAAAAACACAATAAGTTTAAAACAATAATAGAATGCTATTTATTTTTTTATTTGATCATTTTGAAACTGTATAAATTATATATTCATTATAACTTTCATAAAAATTGAAATATCATTAAAAAAACCAATGTAAAATATCAGATAACGTTCTCAATTTTTATTTTAGTAGTAGGTCAATTCACTATTATAATATTAAAGTTATCAATCTTCGTTCAGTTGAACGCAAATTTTTCATGTCAGAATTTTGAGTCGTAGTGAGAAAATAAATAGTGCACTGATGTTCTCTAAAATTTCCAATAAACATTTCTTAAATTTAAATATTTTGTTATACAATACCTGTTAGTTAGTCAAAATTGTATTAAACTATTAAAATATCAATTAATAGATATTATTTTATTTATAATAAAAAAAAAAAAAAAAACTATAAGCCTAATCTTTAGATTTTCATAAATTAATTAATTATTCCAGTAAATATTTTATAATAAACTGTAAGCAATTTTTTTTTTTTTGAATAACTCCATCTTTATTATTGCTAAGAATAGAATTTATTTTGAAAAATTATAAACTTAAAAACAGTAAAAAATTTAAATTTATATTAATTGCCAAATCAATCAAATTATTTTCGATAATTTTTCACTGCAGATATAACAATTATTTATAAAGTAAAATATTAATTGGGAAAACAATTGATTGACATAATTTCAAAATTTTTTTTTGAATATTAATAGAATAACAATAGTATAATATAGTAAACTATAACGTAAATTTCTGAATTTCTTTGATACTTTTCATGAGTTTTTTACTTTTTTATATATAAAATATAAATATATCAAAAAAAATTTTAAAAAAACTTTTTTTATAAGTTTTCTACTAGCTGTAGAAATTAAAAATCGTGATTTATGATGTATAATATCATGTTTTATTTTTATAAAAAACATTATTAGGCACATATTACTATATTATATATGTATATACCTATATATACTTAATAGATAACGTATGAAATAGAAGAAAATTGTTGTTTATTGTTTTGGAAAATAATAATTATCAGTAATATAAATGATTATATATATATATATCCAACTCACCGATAATAAACTTGTGATCTGCATGGTTCCTGACGTGTGTGCAAAATATCACATTGAATTGTGTGCAGGAATCGTAAAAAGTATATTTCCCACACCTTCCGATTCCCATTACCTTGCTATACTAATATAATATACATAAACTTCAGTGAAAGTGGTTTGAATTTCTCTCTCCGTATTTTCTTTTCTTTCTCGTAACATCATCATCATTATGTGCGTTAGCGATATTATAAATCGTTTACGCAACCGTGTTTAGTACATATATTTTTAACGCATGCGATTAATTATTACAATAATAAACCGTCCCGCACGTATTATAATGCAATTTAAAAAGTACAATACAACATAATATAGTATAATATATAACATGCATTATTATAATTTATAACAATTATTTGCTATATGTGCACCACCATAAACTATGGTCTATGACGTGGGACGTGATCAATGAAAAATACATAATAATAATTGTATAATATTATATTATATCTACCTACTTTCGGCAATATTTTTTTACAATTTATTCCTCTCAACATTATACAGTAGTTGTAGGCGTTTAAAAATAGCTTTACTTTAGACGGCTAACATCACATCTCGGAAATGCTTTCGCAACATATCGTATTACGTATAAACGATGTATAATATTAATATGTTTAAATTATTAAGATAATAATATTACATATTGTAGTTCCGCGATGACGAATTTATAATTAGATACTAAGTCGGCGTGTTAGATATGCAATTTCAGTACACTAATGCGTCGATCGAGGGTTGTTTTGCATGTTGGTAATGTCAGGGTGAGTGGTAATACACATTATAATAAGTATGAAAATAACGCAACTCTTTCTATTAAATACAGAAATTAAATTCCGTTTTTTGTTCGAAATTCACCGCACAATATTGTCGACGTCCTTGAAACTATTTAAATTATTTTTTGAAATAAACACATTGTTCAAAAACAGTAATAGCTAGGACGATTATAATAGGTAATTATACCTTTATACAATCATAATATTATCATTCACGCATTACATAAAAAAATATTTAATTACTTCTTGTCTATAATGTGCTATAATCAAACACATTTTTCAAAAATATATTGCTATTAAAATATAGTAATATAATTAAAAACTCTTATTGAAAATCTATACTAACGTATTTTTTTAATATTATATAAGAGAAAATCATTATAATAATTAATTGTATTAGTAGGAAGTAAATAAAAATGATTTTAGATATAAAATGAAAGTATAGCCAGTATGAATCATTTAAAACGTGGCAAAAAAAAGATATTTCACTTTTTTACACTAATTTGAGATACATATAAAACTGTTATGTGATAAAGATAAAGGGAAATTTAAGAATTCTAAATTAGGTGCCTAATATTATATCTAGTTTAAAATAATAAAAATGGGAAAGGGGAAATATAGAAACTCCGCAGTGCCATCAATGATCTTTATTAAAATGAATAACTCAGTGTAAGTTTTTAAAACATATTATTTTAAAGATTTTCTCCTAGCATATTTTATTGTTACGAGTGTTATGACTATACACTTCAACATATGTCATTTATTACATGTGCATTTAAGTACTTTGACACAAAACCAGACAATCTATAAATACGTTATAAACAAATATATATGATTAGTTTCAGTAACTACTGTTAACTTGTTCATCATTCAAACCTATAAGGTTATAACTTAAGATAAATAATTATAAAGTATGCTGCAGTCGGAGGTAATCCATTTGCGCCAAAAAATTAATTCGTTTTGGGTAAAGTTCATTTGCACCAAATTTACTTACGTGAACATTTTGGTTAATTCGTATATTTAAAAGACGTCGTGTCTGTAACATATAATAAAATTATTTTTATAAATCTATAGAATTTAAAACTTAGTATTATATTATTGCGTAGAAAGATTGAAAACAAGTTTATATCAGTTTTATTCTGTTGTATGATAAGGATACTCCGTTATCGGATATATGACCCATTGGATGGATACCTATCGACGTATTCGTCAAAAAAACGATCGTAGTGTGATTTTATCAAACATACGTTTCCTTACATTTCATGTCTAAATAATATTCTTGTCTGGATAAATATAATTACGTTATACTAAATAATATTTTAATTATAAATTATAAGAATGGAGTTAATAACAAGCACAAGAGAGAAATAAATTATTGTAGAAAATGGCCATAATTATATTTTAGCATATTATACGTCTTATAAAAATATTGAAAACAAAATTAGTAAATATGTACTATATGTACTTACTATTTATTACTGTTTAAAAAAACTTGCATAATTGATTATTATCTTTAAAAATTTGTTCAATTGACTATACTTTAAATAAAATTCTATTGATTATTATTTGAAAAAAATATATTTTACTTTATTGTAATTATACCAGGTAAATTTAGAGCAAATGGGCTGTCAGAAAAAACGTACTTTTTTATTTTGGTGCAAATGGGCCATGTCCCTGCAATCTGATCTTCCGTGGTTTCCCCGATTTTCCGTAGCCGTCTTGTTAGAGATAGATGAGAAAATCGGAAACCCTAGCGGGCCACACAATATTTTAATAGTTATCATGAAATACTTGACAGCGGGTGACAGTGTTCTAAAATTTTTACGATATTATGTTATCATTAATTTTAAATTATTATTAAAAATTTCAATTTATGAATACTGTATGGAAATAATAATTTTTCACCAATCTAATATTTAAATATTCTCAAGATCATAAACATTATCAGAAAAAAAAAATCTTTACTTAATATTATTATCACATAGATAGATGTTTCTTTTTCATTACAGTTTATCCCCTTACGCTGCTGATTATTTTTTTCTACTTAATTTATACATTTTATATCATCTACTAGCACCGGTGAAACTCGCTGTAAGTGAATACCCTAGGTCGGTGAAACTCGCTGTAAGTAAATACCCTAAGTCGGTGAAACTCGCTGTATGTGAATACCCTAGATCGGTAAAACTCGCTGTATGTGAATATCCTAGGTAGCTGAAAATCGTTTGAAGTGAATTTCCTAGGTCGGAGACAGGACTTTACCGCAGTCAAAACAATCTAGTAGGCTAAACCAGTGATAACGATGTTTGAGACGTTGGTACCTCTGATTTGGTGGTTTTACACTTTGGCGGTGTCGTTTTAAACGCGTAAATAATAATCTTATAATATAAAAAAAGTATATAAAAGTCCAATTCGAACGTTTAGTGGTGGGTCATTTCATTAAATTTACAGGTGTAATACACCTTGCCCCGTAGCTCGTCCTGTGCTTTTGTACATGGAAAATAAATAAATACATTCCGAAATGGTAATTAAATGTCTAGCTATCAGTCATCGCCCGGTACGGTGAAAGTCGATACCTGACAGAGCAATCCGACTTCGGCGGATTGGATGCATTTCCCGTGGCTCGCCCGGTGCTTTTGAGTATGGAAAATAAATAAATACACTCCGAAACGGTTATCAAGTGTCTAGTTATCAGTCATCGTCCAGTGAACATCGATTCCTGACCGAGCAATCCACCACGGCTATGTTGTGCTGTTCAGTACGCAAAAAAGTTTAAGTCGAATCGAGCACTCGATTTTAAAATTGGTCGTATTACTGTTTAACATCTTATGACACGAGATTTTTATAAAGAAACGATTTTTTTCATGTTTCGATATTCAATAATTATCTATTTGGTTTCTTTGCAAATCCATGGGTATATAATGACTTGTTACAAATAGTTAAAAGTAGAATTAGGGTTGTTATTTATTTCGGTAATTTTTAATAAAATAACTATTTAAATATAAAAATTAATTATCATAGTACGTATAAAAAAAAATTATTATTATTTTTCTGAATTGAACTGCTTAATAGGTACCTAACTATATAATTATTATATGTTTGGCAATTACTTACATTACAAATAAGTTCTTTTAATAAAATTTCTATCAATCTCTTTTATTACATGGTATTATTATCAGATTTTCTCCCACAACCATCAATCATCATGATCTGAATTATCGTAACCGCTTACTCACATACATGTCACACATGTCACATGAATACTCTGAAACATAATTATATAACATACCCACAGTGCCGGCCCGAGTTATTATGGCACCCCGGGCAAGTTTTTAAAAGGCGCCCTTAAAAATGTAGCTTAAATAACATTTTTATTGTTCTAGACAATTATTATTATTATTGTAGATATGATTATATTATTATTACACATAGTGTATAACACACTGTTAGTTATTCAGTTAATTCTTTCAGTGCATTTATTATTTGTAATATTTCATTTTTAACTGCATTAATACAATCTATTCGACATTCCCATCGAGTCCTTACATAATGGCTTAACAGATAAAGATTTAATGTGTTTTTTAAGATATACCAACGACCCACAAATGCAGAGAACAACACGTATATTCGTTAAATTTTTCCTAAGAAGTTTTTTGACTCAATAGAGCAAGAAATACTATCTCCAACGACTCCAACTATTAAGTTCAGTAAATGACAACCACATGGCATAAAAAAAAGCTTGAAAATTGGTTCATAATATTCTTGCTTGTACCTACGCCTTTATTTTTACACTTCATATTCGCCCCGTTGTTGTATCCTTGACATCTACTGTTACTTAATTCTAGTTAATAATTATACATTATTATATAGTCTCAAAAATTCCTTTACCAGAGAAGTCATTTATTGGTTAAAACATTATAAAAATTTCTTTAATGCACATTTCTCATCTTTATCAAAACAATTTAAAGTCAACGAAGTTGTTCAATGTGATTAATGTCTTGAGTGCAATCCAACATAATATTATATTTAGTGTTTTTAACTCGATCTAGTAACCTATATTGTTTCAGTAAGTTTCAAGTTATACAAATAATTTCATGTTGAATAATTTTTCCGTAATAGTGAAAATAAATTTCATGATAACACGACGAACACGTATATTTATATCTAACCATCGGTGTCAGATAAATTGGTACCGCGGTAGTGATGACTGACGATGATTAAAAGTCATTGTGCCCCAAAGTTGTAGTCACGGTGCGTGGTAATATTATTGTAATGTACCTATATTGTATATGGTTATATTAATATATTTATATTAGTTTATTATTTCGTCAAATAAAAAAAAATTTATGAGTTTTTACAATTTTTTAAACACCTTCAAATGCGTAACTGGCGCTCCTATTCTAGAGGCGCCCTGGACGACCCACATATTAATTCTATTGTAAAACTTTATTCTGTTTTCTTCTGTTTCTTTTTTATTGTAGGTATATTTTAAAACTTAACCTATACTTGAATTTTAAAATTAATATAAAACAAAAATTTGTTGAAAAAATTTAACTTACCACCCCAAGCTTATAGGTACTCTACAATGTACAATAATATAGATTCGAAAAAACAAAAGCAAAACAATTTCGATTATGACTTTTACAGGATTTGTTACTAGATTTTCGAAATCTGTTTACAAACCCAGTTTTTTCAAATTATTGTGTGGTCACTATATTGATAAAAACACAATTTTAATTGAAAAAATATATACTTACAATAATTAAATAATCATTTTAAAATTATTCAAAATAGCTCTCGCTTAATAGATAATATCTAAATGTGCTATATATGGGTGATTTACGATTTACTTAACAAAAAACGCTCATTATTTCAGAAAAATAAAATTTTTTTGATAACAGCATACATTCACAATTGCTTATTTGAAATTAAAATATTTTTTGAAATTTTTTAGTGTATAAAAATTGAATTTTGGACGAGTAATTGAAAAATTATAACCATTTTTTTTCTAGCATATATTTCAGTACAGATGAGTAGAGTAGTAAACCATTACTTTGTAGAATATCCTGTACAACTATTCCACAATTCGTAACATCATATATTATGATTTAAAATAATAAAATAATTTATCCTGTTATTAGATTGTGATTATCACAATACTATCATTCCATCGTAACAGGTTACATGTAAATTTACTTTGACACTTGTTAATTATTTGAATTTTGAATTCAAACAGTCAATAATAATGTTATTATTAAAATAAACAAAAAAATCAGTTCTGATTAGAAAAAAAAAACAGACGAATATGGATCAGTATATATTAATATAGTTATATTCTATTTATAGATAGTTTCACAATTGGTATTTTTTTTTAACTCAAAAAGTTAAACTAGTTTTTGGTAAAAATATATCTACCATTCTACCAATGTATTATGTTTATGGTATTATTATAATTTATCTATGAAAATATTTTGAACATTAAATTTTTATAACATACAAAATTGAAAATAATGTCAACTATAAGTACCCAGTATTAGAATGTTTTAAGTTTTTATAATTAATATTTTTTGAATTTCAACAAAATACATAATAAATAATATCAGTTAAAAAAAAAGAAAAAATCTTTATTTGATATTTGAATATCTGTTTTGATTAAAATGTAAAATTTAAATGCTTGTAAATATGTGACTTTATGTATTTCAATATTTTAAAATAACTTAGTTAAAATTATATTGTTTAAAAAATGTTCATAAATATTTAGTGAAAGTATCATCTTTATGGTAATTATTTTCTTAATGAAACATAAAAACAAAATCAATCAAAACAGATTCAGCATTTTCCCACTGTTTTTATTAGTTTGTTTCCAATTATTAAGAAAATTATCGATTTTCCTATATTTAATTCCCTGAAACAAAGTATCAACTGTCAAAGTAAACACTCTGTTTAGTAAAATCAATATATTCTCCATTACACTAAAAATCTAAAACCATATAACAAATTAAAAAAATATATTATACAACAAATTTGTATTTACTTTGGCAGTATTTGGTTTAAAATAAAAGGAAATAATACAAAATGATTTTAAAAATAAAAAAATAATTAATATTAAGTAAAAATAGCTTGCCATAAATAATTAATATAAATAAATAAATACAATAAAATATTTTAATAATTCAAACAGATAAGCTTGATCATGAATAAAACAATAAATAAATAATTTGAATAATAATGATAATGGTATACTATGACATCAATGTAAAATTCTTATATTTTACTATGCTGATAACATTAAATATATAAATATACATGGTATACATATACATACATAATATATTCATCATGTACATTGTTTCACAACGAAAATTAGACAATCATGAGTTAATTTGAAGATGATACTGTGTGATTGTATAAATTTTATCAGCTTTATCCCTCGAATAGTATATACATATTAATAAACATTAACAAGAACTTAGAAATTATTTCCATACTACAGTTGACTGTTTTCCAAAATATCTGGTCTGAACCTTATTTCATTTGAAAAATGTAGCAATTTCCATTACTGCTATCATCTTGTTTGGATTGCTGTTGTATTAGGATAAATTTTGTGGCACTTGAAATGCCAAAAATATTAATTAAATATGAAGAAGATAGAAGTATTTGTACTTCATTGATTCAACAAATCATGTCATGTTGCAAATGAAACAAATATTCATTGCTTTTTGTACCTAAAAAAAAATGTTAGGGCATTTTTATGATATTATATTACCAATAAAATTTAGTTATAATAAAAATGCATTATTCTTTTTCATTTAAAATTTATATTTATAATAAATATAAATCCATATTAAATGATTTTTTTTTTATCCGAAACACTTAAAAATATTTTATTTACTTATTAAATACAAAAACATACTAATAAATTAACTATGTTCTAAATCAGTGGTTTTCAACTGGTGTGTCGCGGCATACCATTGTGCGCGATAGATCTATTAATGGAGTTAATTTTGTATATATATATGTATTATATATAAAAATATATGCTTCACGTAATATATGAATTGGTGTGCCACAAGTTTTGTAGAAAACGTGTGCTATATTGTTAAAAAGGTTGAAAACCACTGCTTTAAATTATAAATGAAAGAATTTAATTTTTCAATATTATTAATTACAGTAGACGCCGCTTATAAGACTCACTTTGGGACCAGCACAAAGTGAGTCTTATAACCAAATGAATCTTATAGGCAAAGTGGAAAAAAAAAATTAATTACGTATTTATAAATTTTATTTTACTACATATTTTGCTTTGATTTTAATACATTAACACATATTACATATTACATACTTTATTATTGAATAAATTTAATAATCCCGATAAAAAAAACTAAAATTATAATCGTTATAATTATTGTTGCGATAAATGTGAACTTTTATCTGCAATAAAAGTTATTATATGTTTTAAGGTACCAACAGAAACTAGAAATAATCAACACGAATATTATTTCATTTTTCAAAACCAATTTATTTCTAAATTATAACCAAAAAAGTTTATTTTCTACTATTTATTTTACGAAATTTGAGTCTTATAACCGAAGTGTTGAGTCTTAAAACCGATTTTTTTAATGTATTTGGATACGTCCAGACCGTTCCAGACGATTTTGAATCTAATAAGCGACTGAACCTTATATCCGTGAGTCTTATAAGAGGTGTCTACTGTATTAAAATAATAATTAAATTGTTGTTTATTTGGGCGGCACTGAATTGCACTTCAATAATATTAATTATACGTTCAAAGTAATCACTACTTATTAATTATTACTAATATCCAAAAATATTTATCAAAATAAATCAAAATATCAATAAAGCATATTTAATTAAATAAAAAATATTAAAATAGTTTAACAAAGAAAATATTTTGTTACCCTATTAAATTCAATATTACATCACTTTCAGCAAAATTTTTGGCACTATTAAATGATAATATTATATTTTTCAACATTTCCAAGTTTGAAAGGCCATTATTATGTAGAATTGAATTAGTTTTTTTATAATGCACTGACATTAGCATTTTATCTAACACATAATGCAACCAATATATATTCGTAGCTGGTTTGAATGATTCCCATTGATCACTATATAAAAATAATTTAAAATTTAATTAAATTAGATAATGAAATATAAACATAATGCTTACTTAGTTTCTTTTCTCATCATACGATAAATATCGAATTGATAGTCACCAACTGAAGTAAATAATTCTGTATCTTTAGCAAGATCATTATATACATGTTTGGAATTGTATGTCATTCTACTTAAGGTAAAATCAATTATTGTTATCTGTCAAAATAGATGTATAGTTTATTATATTATAATTAGATTACAATAAATTAAAATAGTAATAATGTTTTTTATGATGATTTCTGCATAACCAAAGAAAAAGTTTAAACAAACAAGGTTTTTGAAAATATTATAAGCAGTAAATATTTATGGATATTTTTAAAAACAGAAACTGGGAGCTGAATGTTTACGGCTCACTTTTTGTGGGGCACGCTATAATTTTGATTACAAAATACAAAATATACAGTAACAAAAACTTAAAGAAATAATTCAACTCAAATGAATTTACAACATCTCAATTTAATAGACTATAGCGATTTGAAAGCCTATCAGTTTTCATGCTGTCACTCTAAAGAATAATCATTGTTCATACGTGAAATATACCTGTAGAATTGACTTATTGTCAACAAGACTATTGTCCTCATAAGTTAAACTTTTTCTCAAAATGTATTCTACGCTAAATCTATCAATAGATGTGAATTTATGTAAATTAGCAATGTAATCCCTGTCATTTTGGTATAATAGCAAGTTAAATACCTTAATTCCCCGTGATGGTACATTAAAATATTCACCCTCCAATTTAAAAGATATATTCTTGTTTGAACATTTTTTAATCAAAATGTTACCAATATGTAGATCACGGTGTTCAAACTTATATACTTCCTCCGCTACAGCCAACCCAAAAACAATCTAAAACAGAATACCCATATCTATTTAAGTTTATATAAATCTATAGATTACTACAATTAGATATTATACAAAATAACTCGTAAAATTATTATACAATTTATTTGTATTATTCATGTTATATTATACAAATATAGCACACTGCTTGCTAATCATCTTGAATGTATTTGTCTATAAGTAATTTATAGGGTGTCTCAAGAATGCAGGATTTAAAACTGCTATAGATTAAATTTATTTATGTAAAAATAATAAAAAAACATGTTATTATCACAGATTAAGTAAAACAGTGAAATAAAACTGTTAATATTAAAATTGTATATAAACTATTAATCTGTGTTATTATCTTCAGAAGAGGTTGAGATTTAAACATGAAAAATAATACTGGGCATATGCCTCCCCCTTACTAATCTTACTAGCGATCACTTGGTCCATAAAATTATTCAACCCCATCAAGTTTGTAAAGAACAATTTCTTCTAATCTATAGAAGTTTTAAATCCAGCATTCTTTTTGAGACACCCTATATATTGCAATACTCATAAATTCATAATTATTATTATTTTGGTTACCATCAAAATTATAAAACACTAAATTATATTTTAAAAACTTACCTAATAGAGATTTTAGTTGTTAATGGTAATAATAATAAGTAGTTATTTTAAATTTAAATGAAGTTGATGAAAAATAACATGTTTATTATAACATACCTGTAAAAATGCAAATAATGATTGATCTGCCGAGTTGAAAATAAAATTTTCTACATCATTACCTCCGTTTTCCATTTCCAAAATCATAAAAATTTGATCCTTAGGTAAAATGTTAGGATTATCATTATCAGAACCTGATTTATAACATGATAATAATACATTATTAAATATAGGTACTTTAAAATAATTAAAATAAGTTATCTTTGTTTTTGATTAATATGACAAAAATATTTTTTTAACTTATAGGGCATATTAAATGGTAAATTTAGTATTGGATAATGGTTAATAGGCAGAAGTTTTCAACATGTAGCTGGGACTATCTAGGTGTCACATATTATCAAAGGAACTGCGGTCACATAGAAAACAAAAAATTGTTTATTATTATCAATAGTACTGCTATAGAAGTTGTTTAAATTGTTTTCAAAATTAGAAGACCTGTGGATTGTAAAAAAATTGAAAACTCCTTGTGTCTATAGTATGACAAACAATTTTTTTTTTTATACAATCAATTTTGATTTTGCTAGGTCTTCAAATGATTGTTACCTTCTAACAACAATTATATTAAGTTATGCCATTGAATATACTAACGATTGCATTATGTTAGTATAAACTGATTTCTAATCTTAAATTAATATCTTACAATAATTAATAATTACCTTTATCATTATCATATTGTTGCCAGTAATTAATCAACATACTTGGATATTTTCCTTGAACACAAGAAACACGCTTGAGTTTACAAAATGAACTGGTTTGATTAAGATTACTTTTATTCCACAACTTATTCAACTCTGTTGCTATTACAACTTCACTGTAGACTTCAGACATTTTCTTCTGTTGCTCACCATTAATATTCACTTCACCTTCTATAGGAATTATTTTGACAATAGTACATCGATTTCCATTTGAATAACTAAACACCTCGCCATATACACCTTCTCCAACTTTTTTCCATTTATTTGTACACCTTAAAATAAAAATGCTATAATACTAAACAATAAAACTAACATCATACATACTTTGGTTCTAACCACGATTCAAAAAATATTAATTCTTGTTGATTACACACTTCAAAAATGTAATTTCTGGCTTTTTGATTTTCAAGATCTACATTACACAAATGTTTAATGATTAAACATGCATAATTTAAAATTTAAATAATTTATTATACAAAAGTTTTGAAAATGTGCGATTATTGTGTTTACAAATCATCAAGTTATATTCTAAATTTTATAAATAGTAAATATTGAATTAGATAATTAAATTATTATTTTTATTTATCTTAATGATTTAGTTTTAACATAATAAATTTAAGAAAATTAAATTAAAATAAGCACCCATATAAAAAGTATACCTTTGTAGTATAGGTGTGCACAGACTCCTGAATTAGGTATGACTAAATTCAATCTGACCCCACCTCCTCATGGTCACACAAGAAAAAAATTATGCCTATGGGCAGTTGCCCTATCTATATTTGTGTAAACATCTATGATTTTGATTTATTTTGTTATCAATTTTCTACAACTAGGTACCAAGTACCCACCCACGTATAAAAAAAATGGCTCAGGTAGGGCTAAGCTAGCCCTACCTATGCTTATTAGTCAAACATAAATAAATTATACTTAACATAAATAGAACTAGAAATACTAGAATAAACATATTAATAATTACCAATAGGAGTAATATGCAAGTTTTGGCTGGTATTACACATTGAATTTTTTAAAACATTGCTTTGCTCTAAATTTTGATGAATACTAGTATCTGCAAATAATAAAATATATAACAATTTAGAGCAATGAAAAATTAATTTAATCTTATGAACACTACTTATGTATTGTTGTCGTAATATGTCATCAACTGTATAAGCCCATTTTCGACCTTTGGTGAGATTTATAGATTGGTTCATATTTCTATCCATAAAACTGCGAACAATGGAAATAGAACGACGCCACTTTTTGCCCGGTTCAAGATGAAAAACTGTTGTGTTTTGCTCAGGCAAAATGGTTTCTAATTGAGTGGACTCATCAATTATATCCAAATTTTGAAACCGAGCAGCATATCTCCGCCGTGGCGCAATGACAGACAAATTTGACTCATTATTTTCTAATAAGTCATTTGATACACTATTTGAAATATTTGTCTGATTTTTAATAATAGTTTTTTCTGAATCAATATATTCGTTACTGGAAAGATTTGTATGCCTATATGACTCGTCATTATATTTTAAAATATCTTCCTTAGAATAATATTCACTGGATGTTTTCAACTCAATACTTTTGTCATTTAATAATGAATCATGATAAGCATTTTCTCTTTCATGAGACATATCTTTACAGTTTTGTTTATAAATAACAGTATCTTGCTCTAAACTAGATGAACTTTGTAAGATAGAAAAAGAATTATTTGAAATAATGTCATGGTTGTGATTTGATGGATCATGAGACATGCTTAATGTATGATCAAATTCTCTAATTAAACTTTCCTCTATAATAGATTTATCACACTGCTCAATTGGATCAATTGTAATATTTGAAAACTTGCCTGTATTATTAATTAATCTTTGAGATTCAGAGCCTGGTGAACTCACAATTTGATCATCATCAGATTGAAGTCCGATATTTTCGTTAAATGATATTAATGAAATTTGATTATTTTGAGGGTATGCACTTTGCTTATTATTATCAATTCTATCTAATACATTTAACAATTTTAAATCAAGGTGATCTGCAGATGACATTATTGAATAGTCCTGGCTTAAACTGTATGAATTATTCAAAGATTTTTCCTTATTCTGTATCATGTGAGTTGCATTTATGCACGAAAATGGTGTTTCATTTTGTTTTAGTTGAAATAATTTATCGTCTCTGTTGTTGGGTTTATTGACAAAAGGTTCATTATTTAAACTATTTACAGATGCATAATCAATACTTGCTAACCTAGAGTTTTCAATTAATTTACTTTTATCAAGCATATTATATGATTTATACAAATCATTTTTTGGTTTAAACACATATGGTTGACTTGGTTGAGAATCTTCAATCGTTCCAGCCTTTATATTGTCAATAGTTGTAATGCTATTCTTTTTATATGATTTAGAATAATCTAATGACATACTATCATTTTCTTTTCCGGAAGAGCTCTTATTAAAATCTTTTAAAGATTGAAATGATACATTATTTAAATCTGATAATGGTAATGATTGTTTATGTTGTTCTAATGGCTTACATTGTTTAGTTTGTTGTGTTAAATTTGATTCAAAATCACTACTACTGTTTATTTGTTCATCTGAAATTAAAATATCTTGATTTCTTGATTTTTCTAAAGTAACAGTTTCTTCATCATCAAAAATATTTATTACTTTATGATACCAATTTGATTTTTTCTCTTTTGAACAAGATTTTTTTTTTTCTTTAACTTTATATAATCTATTAGAACTGTTTAAAAGCTGTTTTTTAGATGCACTATTTTGTGAATATTTGTTTAGTGATGGATATTTCCAACTAGATATTTGAACAGAATGATCAAGTGAGTTGTTAAAATCATCATTTATGTTCATTAAAATGTTAGAACTATTTACAGATAAATTTTTTGGTTGCAAGCGAAGTTCTGAAGAATTAAATGTATTAACACCATATGCCAAATTTTTCTTTGATTTAGTTTTTTTTCTTTTCTTTGAAGAAATACTAGTGAATTTGTTACCATAGGCAAACAACATAGATTTCTGTAATGGTGTAGAACATTGTTCTTGAGATAAAATGTGTTTGGTTTTTAATTTTTTGATTGAGATTGGTGTAACTCCTGCAAGAAATATAATAATTAAATACATTAATAACATTACAATTATCTAAATTAATAAATACCATATCACTTTATTTTCATCAATTTATGTTACAAAATAAAATAAAATATTAAAATAAATTCTTTTCACTATATTCAAATAAAACAAATTTTAAAACAGTTTTATGCAATTAATGCAAAATTAAACATTTAATACTATATCATAATTTACTAGTACTTATATAATAATAAGAATAAAATATCTATAAGGAAAAACACTAATTAGATAAGTGTCTCTTGCAGTGTATTAAAGTGAGTTACTTTAACTAGTATATTACATTAACAAATTAAAATCAACTTTTTTTAATTACTTATAAAAGAATTTCATAATTTATTTTTTTTGCAACTGTATTAAAGTATATTGTATTTCATACCTTTTGAATTATTTACAATATTTAAATTTTTCTTTTTCTTTTGAGTACTTTTCAACAATATTTTTTGTTTATTATAATCACTGTCTAAATTGTATTCTGTGTACCTAAAACATTAATTGAAATTTAGTTAAATTTAATGGTAAATATTTTCATAAAATAATTCAACCAAATCATTAGTATATTATTATTTGTTTTAATTGATTAATAATTTAAAAAATATAATTTATTATACCAATTATAATAATTAATCAGATTTTAGATTAAAATAAATAAACCAATAGGTATATACAATACATGTAGTAGATAATAAACATAATTTATCGTAATGAAACTAAGATGTATTATGTTGACATTTAATAATGTATACCTAATAGTTTCTATTTAGTTTTAATCTTTTTTTTTTATTTTAATGTAAATAAAATATAACTTACCTCTTTTTTATACCAACATTTTTTTTATGACTATCTAAAGTACAATGTAATTGCATTGACCATCCACTAATATAATTCTTTTGATTTTCATCTTTTTTCTTATGTTTAGCTGGTATGTACATAGAAACTGAACCATTTGGTTCAGGTGAAATAAATGTTGTTTGTGGAACATCTTCAATACCCAAACATTTGTCAAAATCATCATTTAAATCATCATTCCACAATGAAGTTTGTCCTAAAAGTTGAGTGCGTCTAGGTTTCCCATAAGTCTTCACAAACTTTGAAGTATTTAATCCCTGAGCCATTTTACTATTTTAAAATTGGCTATGAAATGGAGAGTTTAAGACTTATATAATACACATTTGAGACGGTTTGAAGCATTCTCATAAGCTGAAACGAGTATGATGTATAATTATTATGTATGGATAGAAACATTAGATTTAAATATAAGATGAAGCATATTATAATATAACTGGGTAAATTGAGTATTTTACGTTTGGCCTCGAGTTTGTTATTTAAACGTTAAAATTTGTAATTGTAAAATTGTGATTAGGAACTAAAAGGTAATAAATAATGAACAGATTCTTGTACAAATTAATTTTTTATTACATGTACCAAGTTATAACAAGTTTATTAATTTAAAACTTTAATGTTACAGAGTAACAAATTTTGGATTTTTTACACTAAAATACACATTTCTGTACTATTTGTAGTTTATGTTCTATTATTATTAGGGGTGGCCTGAACTATTGATATTTTATAACAACATAATATTCTGGATAGCTAAACTACTGTTGGCTATAATAAAATCCTTTATACAAAATATTTCATATTTGTTTTAAAAATTGTAAAAACTAATAAAGAAATTAGTCATTTCAACAATTTAATATGTTCACTAAAGTCAAATAATATTGATATTAAACTTTTAAAATTGTCAGTAATTAATTAATAAATATAAATATCAAATAATAATTTTAAAAGAAAGAATAATTTTAGGTTATTTTACAATTTTTTAAAAGATTAGTTTCAAAAGCATAGTTGAACTTCCTAAATTGTATATAAATACACAATTGAAGGTATTGACGAAAAATCTATCTTTGACAAATAAAATTTCAAGACCTGAAATTATTTTCCCAGGTCACCTAATGTCCACTGATATTGTTATAAATTTTTAAACATAAATTTAATATTTATATTTATATTACACAAATTTAATATTAATAATACAATATAATAAAGATCAAGAAAATACGAATAGTTCAAACTTATTATTATAGTACCGTCTACCTGTTACAACCTCAGAAAAATAACTTAAGAAATTGAAAGTAATAATTTTAATACTTAGGTACACCGAAAATAATGTTTTTCGAATTCATATGACACCAAAATTTAATTTTAAACTTTTGGCACATTCAGCTGTAGAAATTAAGAACATTTCATACGTCAATAAATTATATCAAATAATGATAATATCCAGCATATTAATTTTAAAATCACAAAATTAAATATTACAGACTTACCTTTACCGCTTAATCAAATTTAGAATAAGTGAATACATCGGAATTCAAATCCAAATCACTGAGTGCCTGTGGGCTGTGAGTAAAATTTAATGTGATACGCGCATTCTGATAGACGTTAGAACCTGCCATAGAACGATAATGATAAAAATTGAAAAAGATAATTTACTAGAAGAAAAATTGAGGATAAGAACATTAAGAACGTACAAAGCTGAGGAATGAGGATAATAATATGAAACGTTCAAATTTATAATCATGACACAATTCTCAACGGACACTGATAACTGATAAGAAAACTAGAAAGACAATGATATTAACGCACCTGGTGGTTTAATTTTAGAACTCTTATCGAAAACCGTGAGCTGTAGGCGTCGTCAGTGGCCAGTGCGCAATATGCGCGACTAGCGGACAACATTCGATTTTTTACTGGTAAATATATAAATAACAGAAAATGTATCTAAAAATTTCTTTGTGAAATTAATTTACATATAATGAATAATAATAAATATTAAACGTATAACGGGTTTATTTACCTTATCGCTGACATTAAAGTGAAAACTATCGAAATATTTTATATTACAATAAATTATTAAAACTAAGTTCAACTTCCTACGACTAAAAGTATCACTACATAATATGGATGCAACGTAACAGAAGTTTGTCGTTTAACATGGTCATTAATTTGATTTTTTCCTTTCAAATAATATTTCATTGACATTTATAACACGGTAATTTTCCAGTTTTCCTTTAATCTGGACATTATCAGCAAATCCACTTCTAATAACCGTTTTAAATCCTGAATACAATTATACTTATATATACTGTTACTCATATTTAAATACCGAATCAGAGTTTACAATTTACATAGGTAATGCTATAATATTATAGCTAGCTTTAATAACATTAATATTATTAGCTAGTTTTCGTAACAAATCACTATTATCATAACGTCACAGGATGTTATTGATTGATATGGTAACTAATATGCATAGTATAGTAGGTAAATACTTAGATTTTTTAACAATTATTAATTATATACAATTAATTTTTAATGTAATACAATGTTTTAACGTAGGCGTGCGCACATATGCTTTTTATGAGACGCCAGATTTTTTTAAGGACGTGCATAATTTTAAGTTCACCAGTGGCGCAACCAGGATTTTTTTAAGGGGGGGGGGGGGGTCCAAAAATATAATTATTTTAAAGTAGCATGCAAATTTAATTATTATAAACATAAAAAATAAAGTTATGTACAATGTGTACCTATACTTCTGTAACAATAAAATTACGGTATAAAATGAAGTATAATAATAAAAGTATAATATAAGTATAATATTTATAATTATAAGATGAAATCTAAACGATGTTTTGTAGAGCTTAAATGACTTATTACTTCCTCTGGTGTTACACTGACTTCGTAGTGGATATTGAGGGCAGCTAATCCATTGAGTCTTCTTTCCGATGTGGAATTTCTTAAGTAACTCTTGATCCTTTTAAGCGTGGAAAATGATCTCTCCGCCTCACATGAAGTAATAGGAAGTGTGATAAGTATTTGTAATAGTTTATATATATTTTGGAATAAATCTGGATTGCATTCATTAAGTATTTGAATTATACTATTATATTGTATATTACTGTCAGTCAAATAACGATTCCATAAAATAGTTTCTGATTTCACTCGATCAAAATCATCAACATCGTTAGCATAAAACTCAACAAGCTCTTTTAGTTTTTCTTCATCAAACTCTGAGCTTTTAACTAACATTTGAAATCCAGATATTATGTTTTGATGATTAACAAAACGATCGTTTAATTGTTGTACAAACGAATCAAGAAACGGTAAAAATAAAATGATTCTAAAATATTCTTCGGGATCTTTTGTCGGAATATTATTTCGGTATTTTTGACGCTTAGCTAATCTAGGCATTTCAATAGTAAGTTCAAAATCGTTTAATCTTTTATTAATATCAATAAATAATTTGTTAAATTCTGTACCACAAAGGCTCCTGCGGGGGGTGGCGGTTGGCCTTAAATGGTGATGACAAAAGAAAATATATACTCGGGAAG